GATTCTAACCGGAGCAGACAAGACACGAAGGCTACTTGAAGAATCTGACCCAAACATGGACATCAGACCAAATCATACAATTTATATCAACAATATGAATGACAAAATTAAAAAAGAAGAATTGAAGAGATCCCTGTATGCCCTTTTTTCTCAGTTTGGGCATGTGGTAGATATAGTGGCTTTAAAGACTATGAAGATGAGAGGGCAAGCCTTTGTTATTTTTAAGGAACTATGCTCATCCACAAATGCTTTGAGACAGTTACAAGGATTTCTATTTTATGGTAAACCAATGCAAATCGAGTATGCAAAAACAGATTCTGATATAGTATCTAAAATGTGAGGCACTTTTGCCGATAAAGAAAAGAAAAAAGCCAAAACTGTGGAACAGACTGCAGCAACTGCAAACAAAAAGCCTGGTCAGGGAATACCAAATTCAGCTAATCCCCAAGGAAATTCAACACCAAATCCTCAGGTCCCTGATTACCCTCCAAACTATATTTTTGAGATGCTGCTGTCCATGCTGTTTAATCAGTTCCCTGGTTTTAAGGAAGTGTGTCTGGTACCTGGAAGGCATGACATTGCTTTTGTTGAATTTGAAAATAACGGACAGGCTGGAGCTATCAGGGATGCTTTACAAGGGTTTAAGATCACACCATCCCATGTTATGAAAATCACTTATGCCAAGAAATAACATTTAGGATAGTCATCTTTAATGGACTTGGTATTATTTATGGTGTTTGTTTTGATAACATTTGGCCAGGTCATTTTAACGGTTGGAGGTTGGGGAGAAGTGAAAGTGAAATTTTGATGAAAGACTTAAAAATTCAACCATTCTTTCTTTAGCCTGAGTGAACTATGAAATGCGAAGACCTTAATTTTGTACAATAAACTTCTCTTTGTATTCTGTAAAAAAAAAAAAAAAAAAAAAAAAAAGACCAATGCTCAAAAAGTAGAGGGGATGCAAAGAGGATAGCAGGGAAATGAAAATCTGGGAGGTGGGGGAAGGAATTATGAGTCTCTCAAGGAGCAGGTGTTGGGCTCCAGCTCCACAGTCCTCAGGGGCAACGTGGCACATAGAGTCACAACTATTCGTAATCTTATGTTACAATCCCACCCAAGATTCTGGGGTAACAAGGAAAATGCCACACTCTCAGACTTGATGGGACTGCCAGACTGGACAGTGCTGTTTCAGAAGTATTGTGATGACTGGCAGTGCCTTCTCAGCAACTTGACACCACATAAAATCTGGATACTTTTGCATAATCTTGGAATTTGTGAGGAGCCTACCAACTAGGTAGATGATGGGAGGGGTCCTGGTAACAGAATTAAATTTAAGGAAAACAGACATGAAATATTTCTTTCTTCACCTAGTGTTCTACGGATTGAAAAAAATCACACCAGCTATACCTTTTCCCTGATTCCTCATTGTTGAGAAAGGAAAGTTCTGGTTAGCAGGCTGGTGGGCATGCACTCACTCATGGAAAGGAGTATTTGGGGGTTCATGTTTTGGGTCCACTCTAAAATGCCTTCTTTCCATCTCTGTATTTCTAATACAAAATGAGGAGACAGAATAGACAATAGAGCAGTTTCTGTATCACAGCCAGGGAAGAGTTAGGAAGAAGAGTGGAATCCACAAGCACAAAAATAAAGTACCCAGGGGCTGGAGTTGTGGCTCAGAGGTAGAGCACTTGCCTAGCATATGTGAGGCACTGGGCTCAATCCTCAGCAACACATAAAAATAAATAAATAAAGTAAATGTATAAAAAAAAAAAAAGAAAGAAAGTACTCAAAATTATCAGTGGGTGTCATAAGGACCCAATGAGTACTTTGAGATTGTAGCAGGCCCAGCTAAATTCTTACTGAGTTTGTCCTAAACAGAACAAAAAGTCCCTTTGAATATACAGGACACAAAGCACTTCTCATAAAAAATACCTCTTATAGAAAGAATTTGACTCAATCTTTTGGAAATAATTGTACCAGGCAGTGAGAGCTAACAGTAGGTATGCCACACAGTACTATGTGGAACCACACTTGGTTCTGCTTGGTCCCAAATAGCCAGCTTGGTGGAAAAATAGCAGCTTGGTGGACCAGGTGAACAGGTACCTTTAGCAGAAGAGAACATGAAAGTCTCCCACTCTCAGGAGACTCAGGCCTGCTACACTTTCTAGATAATTGGACCTTACCTCAAATCTACTGGAAGGAAGAGGAGAAAAGTTGAATTTTTACTTTTTATATTTCAAGTCCCTATATGTTTGCAAAATATCAGTTATTTAGAGAACTGTTAAGGTATAAAAGAGGCCACACCCTGTTCCCAACTCACCGTCACATTCCAGCAGACACTGAAAAGTTGAACATGGGGAACCTTATTCCTGCTCTAGTTCAAAGAATCTCTCCTTTCTTCCTCTTTTGTCATTTTTGCCCATGTACAGTGGTTTGGAAGTAAGAAGAAACATTCTTATAAGAAAAATATGTCGTCAATTTCCTGTAAAAACTTTGGAGAAAGAGTCAGATCTGTGGCCTGTGTTCAATATGTAGGATGGTCTGGATTCCCTGTTTGGAGCTTTGAGAAAGGGTTATAGCTATATTTTCCCTTCTCCTCTGTCAGTTACCTAGGCAAAGTGACAATCTCCATGCTATTGACATTCCAGCTGCCTAGACCCATGACTCTGTGACAATACTTTCAAAGTGATAGCAGCAGCTACTTTCCATATTACCATATGTATTCTTTTTTTAAAATATTTTTTTACTTGTAGATGGACACAATACTTTTGTTTATTTATTGTTTTATGGTGCTGAGGATTGAACCCAGTGCCTCCCACATGATTTAAATGTACCACTGAGCCACAATCCCAGTCCATCATATATCTTTTTAAAGAAGGTCTCCCATTCTCTGTAAATTGGAATTGAAGTTCTTTTTCTCTAGAATGGAAAGAAGGTCTTTAACTTCTCTTCACTGTTAGAAAGAGCTTTAAGGTTCAGCAACTCCAGACAGCTGCAATGGATAATAAGCCATAGGGACTGTGGAACCTAAGGGCCCAACAGCCACAGACTGGGCCATTCTAACTCTAATGTCTCATCATTCCAGAAAGTGTTTCCTAAAGTTTGTTCGCTAATAGTTTTTCTACACTATTTAGTGAATAACATAATCTAATGTCAAATAACTTTGGAAAAATAAATTTTGAAAATCTCTCCTTCTTAGAGATTTATGGCATTCATTAGCATATTCGAGACTCTGAGAAGCTATGAGGAAACCAGATAGATTTTGACCCAATAACCCCCTCTTCACATAACACCCAGTAATATTTACCTGACTTCCTTGGGGAAAGTGGTCCTGCACAACATAGAAGAATCTGGTTTCCTAATTCTTACATGGAGAATCAATGCCTCTAACCTGTTTTAAGGAAATCATTCAAATATTTTAAAAGGCTCTATATACAAAGAAGTTAATTACAAAGTTGTTCATAATAGCAAAAGCCTGATAAAAACTCAAATAAAATAAGGTTGAAAAAATATATTATGGTACAACTGTGCCAATGAATATTATGTACCCACTAGCAATATTTCTGAGACATTCTTAACCTATGCAAATGTAAAATAATTACAGGTGAAAAGCTGTACATATAGCATAGCTTCAACTATATACAAAACATACAGAAAAAAATATTGATTTAAATGTACAAAGATGTTGTGTCTGCTGAAAACTAAAAAATATTTTTAAAAAACCTTAAAAAAATGTCTTGTGAGTCCAGTAATATTACAGACTTGGAGCTCCTGAAATACTTCTGCTTCTAAATACTTGGTATAATATTTTTAAAGCCTCATAGTTGATGAGCCTATAAGATAATTAAGAAAGATTAATGAAATTAGAAACTTGGTCAGAGTGGAAGAATAGTAGCTCTGAAGGGATGAAAACTTTGGAATAGTCTAGAATGGTGGTTCTCCACAGGGATGATACTGCCCCCAGGGGCAATGGGGAAATAAGCCCTCCTTCCACCAGCACTGTTGAACCAGGTGAGACCAACTGGATAATAAGCCATAGGGTCTGTGGAACCTAAAGGCCCAACAGCCACAGACTTGGCCATGGGAAGATACAGAGAGGTGCCAGGGATGCAGTTGACATGGTAGGGAATGTGGTGGCCCCTGGGGGCACAAAGCTCGGAAGATAGAGCTCTGAGTGAGCAGGTGGAGCATCAGCAAGGGAAGAGCCTGAGGAAGATGCAAGGTCTGAGGGTGTACCAATTCC